CCTCCCCCTGCTGCGCCACCACACCCATCTCAGCGCACCTCGGTCTGCCAAACTACCAAACTGAGCGCGCCTCGGGTTGCGCTGCTCGAAACTAGCTCTGCGCGGGGTTCGCCACCCTGCGCGGCACCGGGAAACTAGAGCCCCTTGACTTATTTCCACCCAGCCGACAGTGGGACTTATATTCATTGTGCCGACAGTGGCTTGGAAAAATGCCCATAACCGTGTCACACGGGGAAGAGGGAAGAGGGAAGACGGCTGGAGTTCCTCCAATATTTGCAGTTAGATTATCATATTTTTTTATTGACAAAAATATAGGCTGCTTCGGCTGATTTTTTTTATGCGCACATGTGCCCCTAAATATTTTTTACAGTTCGCACACACCTATTTTTAGTGGAGTGAAACGCTCGCACTGTCAAGCGCTGGATCTGACAGCCTGAGCACATCGGCACAAAACGCTACGGCGTTTGAGATATTATTTATATCATGAGAAGTCAATACTTTCGGCAGCCTAAATCTTTTATTTAGAAACTATGGCAGGTCAAATTAAACTATGGCGGGCCGCCATAGTTTTGTTAATTAATGGGAAACACTGCACCTGTATCACTGCTATCATGTAAAACCTGTTTAAAAAATCCTTTAATCTGTGTCCAGTATTTATCATGTGGAGGAAACCTTCAGTAAAGTTTAGATGTTTTTATTTTTCTGTGTTTCCATGAACCTCAGATTTAAACATGTTGTTTCTCACATTAATGAAACCAGAGTTCAGACTGCTTTGATCAAATTTTATTTTCAAAGTGTGATTCTAAACAGCTCATCAGGTCAGTCTGAGTCTTATTTTAACACAAAGTCCGTCCCATGAGGACAGATGTGTCCCTGTGATCCACAGCTGTGACATGTTAAACTGTCTCTCTGTGTCCTCTTCAGGTTAGATAAACTGGTCTACGTTGGAATCAACGAGGACCGAGCCTCTCAGCTGCAGGTCCTCCGAGCCATCCTAAGAAAGTAAGAGCAGCTCCCCCTGCTGGGCCACAGCACACCTACAGTTAGTCTGGACTAGGGTCAGAGCAACAGAGGCTGAATCCAAATGTCCACAAGTCCTGGAGATTAGGGGCCGTACACATGCCAGGTTTTTTACACTCTCAAATTCATTGTTTTTAATCTAGACGTGTGGCAGGTGCGCTCAGACACTAGAACAACACCGTCGTGCTGCACAGGCGTTCCCAAGCACCTGTTTTTCAGAGCGCAACACCTGAAATAAACTGAAGCTGAAAACACACTGGTGTCGCTGTGGTGAGGCGCGTCAGGTGGAGGCGTCACGCTGCAGCTCGCTCGGCTCCACAAAACATGTTTGCATGCAGATTTTGCACGTTAGAAGACATGGAAATAAAAATAAAAATTAAAAATTGTTATTTATTCATTAGCAAAATAAAAGTGCAAAACACCTCCATCAGTCATATATATATATTTTTCTGCTTACAAGCTGAGCAAAGCACAGTAAATTAAAAAGTGTTGATTAGAGTGGATTAGTCCTTTAATGTGACTCTTTGTTCCTGTGGATTGTGAGCGGAGGATGTTGGAGTGTTTTTGTCACCTAAATGTAAATAAAAGTTGTGTTCAGATTCCAGCTGGACGCTGCTGTGGACCTGCAGCAGGTGGTGGAGCGCTGCCCCGATCACATGACCGGCGCCGACCTGTATGCCCTCTGCTCAGACGCCATGACGGCCGCCATCAAGAGGAAGATCTCGCTCATCAATGACGGTAAGAAAAGGCAGACACCACTTCTGACAGGAAGTCCAACATGTAAACGACAGAGCTCAGACACTTCCTGTCCTGAAAGGTAGATAGATAGATCACTCGTTCATTTACACACCAAACACTTCTGATATGAATCCATTTAAATCTTCTCATCGTCAAAGACTCTGTCACTGATCATCTAACGTTTTCCTCGTGTGTTGTTCTTCCATCTGTCAATAACTGACAGAGGGGTTGACTTGTAGCTATTTAGTTTTCACTAATATATTTTCACACGAGGACATTACTGTAAAACTTCAGTTAGTAGCCCGGGCTATTATTTGCTTAAATGACTGAACTCAACTGGTCTATATTTGGGACAGGCCTTTAATTCCTTCCACACTAAACTGTTGCTCAGCAAAGATCAGGAAATACAATGAAACTGTTTATTCAAACCAGTATGAATGTTAGGGCTGGGTTAAAATAATCGATTCATTTGAACGACCCGATATCGATTCGTAAAATCCGAGATTGATCTATTAACGCACTTTTTCTCACTGATGTGTGAAGCTTTAATCCCGTTAATCTCGCCAGTAGTGAACGGGCCGCTGCACTAAGTCACCAATGACTGTAGTCTTGAGAATCTCCGATGTCGCCGGCGTCTGGTGTAATTTATCATTGTGCTGCAGCAGCCCCTCCTCCTGCCGTCTGTGCGTCGGGGTTGCTGCGCCACTTTACACACACACACACACACACACACGTAGTACAGATGCCGCCATACAGACAGGAAGTGAAGATAACTTGAGCTGACGACAGCTACGCTTGTTACTGTGAGTGCAGTAAAAAGTCAATACTTTATCAATACAGCTGATCAGCAACATGTAAACATGTAGAGAATATTTCAGTCTGCTCTGTCCGCAGTCTGTCATCCACCGCCGCTGACATCATGTTATAAACAAGCACAGAGGCTTTACAGCTAACAGCCAGTGGCGCCGTATAGGGGAGAAAAGTTAGGACGATTGGCGGCATCCTGCAAGGGGTGCCAGCTGGGACTCCATAGTTCTCCTGGGGGGATTCCACGCTCACGTTGGCAATGACAGAGAAACCTGGAGGGGGTTTATTGGGAGGAACAGCCTGTCTGATCTGAACCCGAGTGGTTTTTTGTTTTTGGACTTCTGTGCGAGTCATGGACTGGCCATAACAAATACCATGTTCGAGCACAGGGAGGTTCATAAGTGTACCTGGTACCATAACACCCTAGGCCAAAGATCAATGATCGACCTTGTAGCCACCTTTTAAGATGGGGACCACCAGTTTGCACTGAGCAGTTCACTTCAGTTCAGTTCATAGTTTCTGCCTCCACAGTGAAAGTTGTGGATGGTCCCAACAGAAGCGTTCCTTAGCGTCCCCATGTTTGGTCCCCCCTCTGTTGGGGTACCTAGCACACAGATCTGGTACTAAAAGGTGGAGCTAGAAACCCTGCAGTCTGATTGGTCAGTAGAGGACGGTCACTCTGACACGGACAGGAATACATATTCCTGTCAAATACGGCGGCGCATTATAACGGCTTACTGGCGAAGAAGTCCGGCTCCAGGTGAATAACTTGTTGTCAGGACTGCCCAAAAGTACCTGAACAGCTGAGCCATGGCGGCACACAGTATGTGTCGTATCAGAGGAGAAACTTTAGGGACTGTTCTTTACTTGTCAGGGGAGGAGGGTGGCTGGTTGATTTTTATTTTATTTATTTATTTTATTTTGATCCCCCCTATGTTCATCACTTATTGATGCTGTTTTTGAAGTATGAATAAGTCAATAAGTAATTTATTCCATTGAAATATCACTGATGTATTATAGAAAAGTGATTTATCTTTTTATAAATGACAAAAGGCACATCTGCCTCAGAACCTTGATACTTTCATTGGTATTGTACCATGGGTCCCAACTGAGGGACAAGGAAACACTGAACATTATAGGCTATAAGATAATCATATTGCAAAGATAATATATATAAGATCATATTAAAGACAAAATTAAATTGCAATATTTTTTCAAAACGTGATGATTTTACCTTTCTGTACATTTTATATACAAATTCATTAAATAATTTTGCTTGTAAATGTCTATTTGCATCACGTTTATAACGGAAAACACATTATTTGATCAATTTACATTGTGCCCCTAAAGTTCTTTGTGCGCTCCTTACTTTTTCAACTTAGGAGCACATGTGCTCCTTGGGAAAAAAGTTAGCGTCAAGCCCTGATCCCATGGAGAGAGACTCTCACTGCAGCCTGTTCTATTTTGTTGTGAAAATGTGGGCGTGCAGCCTCGTTCTGTGGACGATAAACCAGGTGCAGACTTCCATCTGTGTCACCGCTGATGAGGAAATACAGCGAGTGCTGGACGGAGCAGTGAGTGACAACAACCCCGCCCACATTTAAGAGGACTGTCTGAACACACCGAGGGTCTAGGTACCATGTCTGAAGACTTACTGCTGGTTCCAAAGGAACTGGACTGAAAGGGTTTGGTGGAGACGGGGCTATAGATGAGGACTGAACTGTAGTAATGTCATTAAGTAGAATTGTTATCAGTCAAAATCACATTATGGCTGACATGTTGCCTTGAACCAGTTTGAACCAGTCCAAAAGCAGCTGTTGATATCTACAGTTTCTGTCACTGCAGATTACGTGGTCAAAGAACAAAGAGGAAGAACTGTTTGACACGACAGAAAAAAATAACAGACACATGAAAATAAAACTTTTTAATTCAAAGCAGCTGATTAAGAAAACCATGGAGGTCGACTTCATTTTAACTCTGTCCATCTGTCTGTCTGTCTGTCTCTCCCCCCGTCTGTCTGTCTGTCTGTCTGTTTGTCTGTCTCAGGTCTGGACACAGAAGACTCGCCTGTCCTCGTCTCCGTTGAGGATTTCTCTTCAGCGTTAGAAAATTTCATGCCGTCAGTTTCACACGAGGAGCTACTGAGATACAGAAACATTCAACAGAAGCTCACTGCCAAGTAGAGACTGATGATGATGATGATGATGATGATGATGATGATGATAATGTTCACCACTCAGATGAAGGTCTCATTTAAAGCACATATCAACACTGTAAAATACTGTAAATGTAAATAATGTAAACAAAAGTTAATTTATGAAATTCTGAGATGTAATTATTAAATATTGCCGTTAACCTTGACTAATGAAACCAGACGTTAGAGTTCAGTTTTTCTCTTGATGGAATCATCGTTACATCAGATGCTAATGATGATTTCTAAAGGCTTTTCACAAAAATCACTTTTACTATTAACAATTACTTGATTAATGTTGTGATATTCCAGCTCTGCGTTAACTGCAGTACCTCTGCCTCATATTCTTATTCTTATTACATCAACTATAACCAGTGTTAAATATACACATGCATATATAATGTTGTAAAGCAACCTTTTAAAGGGTTGGATCATGTTGTCACACAGAAATTTAAAAATCATATCCAGGTGTGAAGGAGAGCTAAAATGTTGGGATTAAAGAAAAAGTCGCAAAACTTGAAATAATGCTGATTTTATCACTTTTGTCAAAACAAAAATTGAAGTAGGCATTTTTTTTTTTTAATACTTTACAGATGGTTCCTGGGCAGAGTGTAAAGAAGCTGCTATGAGACGCAATGAAAATACATTTTCATTATCAAATCTGTTAAGGCTGATTTCTACATTTCACTGCAGTCATAAAACTATGATACAAAGTTATGAAATTTCAGTGGACAAAATCACAACCTCTCAGTTCACTGATCATTTGGAGATTTCTCAATTCCATCAGTTCAGCAATAAACAAATTCAAAAAACTTCAACGACTTGGCAGATGATCAGTTTTTGCTTCACAAACTCATGACATGGCAGAATGCTAAGCTATATACAGCAAGCAGGTTTTATTTTTTTAAATTTTAAAATGTCAGTATCACCTCAACAAATAAAGCAGTGCAGGATAGAGCCAAAGGCAGAGATAATCAGCAGTAGAATTAGATGCAACTAAATTTCCCCGTCCTGTTCACTTTGACACTCGATGAAAAGGAAGCAGCTGCGACCCAAAATGTCTCGTTTGAGTTTGAATTAATGTCACAGTTGAAACACACAGGCGACAGTTACAGATTCACTGAGAGCAGCATTGCTAAAACAAGAGCAGAACACCTGAACGGTTTGTCGTACCATTTTCCCGCCTTTTTTTTTTTTTCACTCAAAATCTAAACTTCTAGCTAGCACGTTAGCCTGTCAGAATGTTAGCGGGCCGACTGTCACATTCTAATGTAAAAACCTTAAAATGATAAGACAAGATAATTTTCTGGCATCATGTGATGGTAATGTAGCTTAGCCAGTTAGCTGTCTTATACTCTAAAGATAAAAAGGAACAGTTAGTATAGTTAGCTAGTTGGTTGTTGCCAACTACTCCTCCGACAGTTCAAGCATTTTCATCATAGTTACTGATACATTAATTTTACCACACATCATAGAAAGTTAAAATATTATTGCGAGAAAAAAAAAATCGAAATTCATATCCCCAACTTTTTAGCTAGAGTTAGCTTTGGACAGTGAGCTCACTACCTTTGGTTAGCATCAGGGCGGTCACCTTAAATTCAGTATCATTTGAATGTGGGGAAAACGTAATATCAGTATTCTAATTGTAACGATCTGTCCGACGCTAAAACTGTAGGTATGTTCGTAAAATGTTCACACAAAAAAGAAAATTAGCTAGCAGTGCTAAATGGATTAAAACAAACTGTGAATTAATGTGTGGAAGCATTTTGGATTTTACACCACAGATTAGAAAAAATCTTGTATAAAAGTAAGGCTGTTTGTTGACAGTGTGAAATGCAGCGACAGTAACGTTAGCTTGTCATCAGGTGAGGCACCACAAATAAAAATATGTGAATTCTACAGTGTAGTTTAGCATTAGCCTGCAGGTATGTTCAGAAGTATTTTAGTGAATGAGATGTTGATTTTTAATTATTTAAACTTTTTTTTTAAGTGACAGCCCTGTTTAGCTTAGCATCAGCTAACAAATGTTGCTTTGTTACTTCACAGACATTAGCCCATTTTTACACCATCTGTGGTTCAGGCTAGTCAACTAAAACAGCCCCGAGCCATGTGTAATATATTAAAATGAATCAGTACCCCAGGTAACGCTAACAAAAAGTTTCGGCCATCATGATTGGGGCCATGTTGACTATGTTAGTTCAGCCTAAACCAATTAATTTCTTAATTTTTTTCTACATCTCACAACCAAATCAAGTTTTATGTGTTATTATATTTTTCCACTTTAGTTTTTTTTTCTCTGTAATTGTGAGTTTTATTGTCAAAACAGTAAAAGTCAGAATCTGGTAGAGAGGAGTAAAAGGGCAGTGTTGTAAAAAGAGAGATCTGTAGCATTAGCAATTAGCTTTAACCTGCGCTATGCTAACATGTACAATAAAAAACTGATGCTCAGCTAGATAATTCAACTGTTCAGATTTCCTAAATAAATTCCCTGAACTTAATTTAGTATGCAGAACCTGTGTAAGTGGGTTACACATCACTTCATGTTAGCCGTCTTAATCAATACAAGTATTCGGTGACACTTTATATTAAGTCAGTAGTTTATTTTTTAATTTCACTTTTTACAGCAGGTTGATAGGTTCAACAAAGATAGGTTTCCTCAATGGATGTCACTATGAAGATTTAAAAAATGGCCTCAAACAGAGATTGATCAGATATCTTTAAATTGGTACAATATGGCAATAAAATCTACAAGAAGTGGATAACTTAGTATAAAGTGTTACCGTGTTATATTCAGCCGTCAACATGCTGGATGTGTTTATTCATTTTGCAGTAAATCCATCATTATAGCAAAGTGAATAGCATATGACTGCCAGACCACTCAAAGACTGGGAATCTGGAGAAATAGCTGGTTAAAAAAGGACTGAAGATTATCATTGATGTTCTCAGAGGTCAGATTTCAAGCAGCATTATTTATTACTGTCACATGAACACCTGTAATAATGTCACACTTAGCTGTAGACCCTTTTACTGTTAGTTGTTACTGTTGTTACTTAGCTGGAGGCAAAACAGTTCTCCACAGACATTAGCTAGCGCTAGCTAACAAGTTGTGTTGTCTTGTTTTAGACGATGGAGGAAGATGATGTGAGTGGTGCGTTCAGAAACACTCATTGTGAGTGTGGGAGCGCACTCTGACACAAACTGGAGCGTTGATAAATTGGGAGCGCTGTCTGAATGTAGCGTTGGGTTATCCAGAGCAGCGCACTCTCAGAGTGGCAGAGCGCACTCTGGACACTCTGTCTGTGGAGACGGAGCAGCAGAGCGCCGAGCGGAGTGAATGTGTGATTAACTTAACCGTTGGTTCATTCATGTAGAAATATAACGCTGCGTTTCTTCCACCAACAGGGCTCTCATTTTAGTGTAGAGCGTCAGACTGAATTTACCAACGCACCATGTCAGGTCACTCACTCTCCGGGACCGCCAGTGTTACTTGAATAAGTAAACACTGACCAACGGGACCAGACTGGCCGACCCGTATGCTCTCACTCAGTGGATGGATGATGTCACAGGAAGCCAATCTTACAAAGGAGGACCACACTTGTTTGTTTTGCTATGGAAGCTAACGTTAGCTAATGTGCTAAAAAGTTAGCGTTGCAGAGAAATCCAATCTTCCTCTTAATCCCTCCCCAGTTTCTGATGAGGTGGACATGATAACCCTTAATACACATAACCTTATTCATCCCTACAACAGGAAATACTTTTTCCCTAACCTGATATGAAGTGTGCGCTGCACATGTGAGCATTTTTGATGATGGCCTCCGTCCAGTCCTTTGGTCTTATCACATTTAACCATAGTTGTCTTTGTTTTTGTTGACGGGCAGTGGCGGCTGGTTTTGAGCCATGACTCCTTCTATTCTGGCTCCCAATAACACAACAAGACAAACACATTTTAACACTCCTGTGGAGCCTACAGCCCTGTGGGGGAGAGGCAGCTGCACCTCCAGCTGATAACATGACGTCAGCCCTAAAAGCGATTATGAGATGTGGGATTTTAAATAATCTATCCGTGGTTCTGAAAGGTATTTAGCTAAAATAACAGAAGGACAGAATGCTCTGTTTGATCAAAAGAAAAATATATTTCCATTTTATTTAATGATTTCTGTCTTCCATATGTTGCCTCGGATAAATCAAACTAGTTTTTTAGCACATCTTTACGTCCATGTTTAGGGTCTGTTCACATTAATCTCATTTCCAGTATCTGATCTGGTGATATTTCTGACTGGGACCTTCCTCGACTGATGAAATTCCTTCACAGTTAGTAAAAGAACGTCTTCGGCTCAACGCCATTTAAATTTGCAGTCTTTTTATTTCTGTGATGTAGCTGCAGAATAATCTGTTGATGCTTGTAAGAGAATATTATTTATTTGGCTCAATCATGTTAAATTGTCCCATATGAAGCAAATTTCTCCAGACTCTCCATCGTTTGAGCCAGAGGTGTGGTTACCATTACAGACAGACAAACAACAAAAATTAAGAGTTTTGTTCCAAACTTTTTCTGCCCACTTTATGAAAAAGGAAAAACCACATTAAGTTTGACTAAAACCTAAAAGCTCCAGTCTGCAAATGTGTCTCATTTAGTCAGTCCATGTCTTCAAGTTCTCGGAAGCGTGTCCTGCAACGACAGCACAGATAATTCAGCTAATTTATTTCCGTTTCTATCTCAGACAGGTTTTGCCAAGATTAGCAACCTTGTTTCCTAGTTGCAGTGTCTGAATCATCTGAATAGACATGACAAATTTCCAGATCGTTAAAGCTGGAATTTTGTAACATTCACACATTTGGGAGTGTGCGTTATGTGACGCTGCGCATCGTGTGGAAGTGACCGTTGAGTTTTGATCTGAGAAGATTGTGAGGCAGCAGTTGGCGTCCCCTCAGAGTTTAATCAGCAGCTGGTTTGGACTCCTCTGAGACTCAAACACAAACACCGTGAAACCTGAAAGAGCCTGAACTAAGAACACAGGGACAGTTTGTCTTTGGATACGAATGATGTACAAGCCACGGTCATGAGTCTAATGAGCCAAAACAGGTGTATGTTTGAAGAGAGAGGGTGAAGCTGGTAGTCCAGGTCTGGGTGTAATCCTGATTAGTCTGGAGGTCTCGATCTCTGTGGTTCGTCATCTGACGTCACTCTGTTATGTGGTTCCTGGATTTTAGTTTGTTGCTGGGGCAAAGATCCAACACACAGGTCTTCCTTTTCTTTGTCGTCCATATCTAACGAGCAGTTCCTCTCTGTTAAGGACTCAGGTGAAGTGGGGCATCCGGCTGCAGGTTCTGGAGAGAGGGAAAGTTGGGATTTAGATGGGTCACGTCAAAGTTTTTCTTTTCACTCAGACTGTTTTCTTTGTTCACTTTTACTGAACAGGGGAAAAAAGGCAGACAGGCAAAAAGGTCGTACAGGAAAAGACAAACTTCTTTGGGAAATGTTGATGATTACAGAACTGGACTATTTCTTCTAACCAACAACCACAAGGTGAACACAAAACCCCATTAAAACCATGGAACAAGAATACGCTGGAAAAATTGAGAAAGATATTGGTTTGTGTCTAAAAATAAAAAAATAACCACTATCTTTCCAGAATCTTAACAAAGACCTTTAACCTGCTGCTTTGGGCCACATGAAATAAAACCATTAAAGCATTAAATCCCACATTTGTCAAACACTCTCTTCTGTCAGACTCACACTTACCACCTGGGGCATATTCACAATACAAAAGATGGCACAAGTACCAATAGTCTTAAAAATGTCTTGAAAAAGTCATAG